TGCATTCCAGCCCCTTTAACTATCTCCTCACAATCTAATACCTCTTTTTATAAAATATTTTTCTGTAATTTAATGACTACAGGACCTGTGGGGAGGTAGGACTAGGGAATAAATGTGTTTTGTTTTGTTTTTATGTTTTATGGTCCTAGGGATCAAACCCAAATGTCATACATGCAATTCATGTACTTGCACTCTTATCATTGAACTGTACCACAGCCTGATTAATATCTTATATTCCATTTGAGGACATAATATAAAATTTGTTCATTGGTAATTAGGAGGTTTTATACATTGTACTTGAAGGGCTTGATAACGAAAAGCCCCTTCTAAGTCAACCCATCCTTATAAAAATAAAGAGTATTTTTAGTTTTATTACCACAACTGATTTTAATTCTATCAAATTTTATATACTTTGGTGTCTCTCTTCTTTCACTGTGTAAAATGTCTTTGAGATTTATCCAAATTGTTGCAAGTATGAGTATTTCTGTTCTTTTTATTGCTGTAGTATTCCAGTGAATGATTATACCACTATTTATACATTCTTTTATGGATACATATTCGAGTTATTTCTAGTCTTGGATATCATGAATAAAGTTCTTGCTTACATTATTGTTTATATATGGGCATACATACCAGCTTCTCCTTGGCAAATATTTCATAGTTGAGTTTCTGTGTCATTTTGTAAACATATGTTTAACGTTGTAAGGAATTCCCAATTTTTTCCCAAACTATAACAATATATATTCTTACTGGCACTGTACCTTAATCTCTAAGTCCTTATTCTTACCAGTGCTAGATAATATTTCATGTTAATCATTTTTGTGGATACATAGTGACCTCAGATAAGTGCTTCTTGGTTTAACTTTCTGGGGAGGTTCACAGCCAGCATGGTGCTTGAGAGACCATTCTATCCTGGGGATCAAATCTAGATCTCCAGCATACAAAGCTTATGTTCCAGTCCTTTGAGACATCACTTTGGCTAAATGTTCATATTTTTTGGACAAAAAATTACATTTAGGGATATTTTCTAAGCTTATAATCGGAAATTCAGAACAAAATTACATTAACACACCCACACTGCACACTGTGTATTTTTTGTCTGTGGCATAACTTTGAACATTGAAATTTGGGAAATAACCTGTCAGGTATTAGATATAGTCAAAATAATGGAAAAGTGCAATCATTCTAAATTGCAATAAAAGCAAATATGAAATTATATATAGAACATAGAACCAATTATAGAAAATGATGTTTATTAGAATAGTCTAGCTGAGCTGGGGAGACGGTTTAGGGGCTTAAAGCACTTGCCTTGCACATAGCCTATCTCACTTCAATCTCTAGTGGTGTATATGGTCCCATGAACACAGAACAAGGAGTATGCCTTGATCATTGCCAGGTGTGACCCAACTCTCCTCTTCCAAACATAAAATAGACTAGCTATGCTTCAATCTATTTTAGTATTATTTTCTTGGCTTTTGGGGTGAAGCACAGCGATGCTCAGGGGTTATTCCTGGCTCTGTACTTCGGAATTGCTCGGGAGACCATATGGGATGCAAAGGATCAAACCCGGGTCAGCAAACACCCTCTGACCCCTCAATTTTTTTCTTCTTGGGTCACTCTCAGTGATGCACAGGGGTTACTCCTGCCTCTGCACTCAGGAATTACTTCTGGCAGTGGTCGGGGGACCATATGGGATGTTGGGAATTGAACCCAGGTCAGCAACATGCAAGGCAAATGCACTACCTGCTGTACTATCACTTCAGCCCCCTGACCCCTCAGCGGTAGGGTGTTTGCCTTTCGCGCAGCCAGCCCGGCAGAGCCAGGTTCGATTCCTCCGCCCCTCTCGGAGAGCCCAGCAAGCTACCGAGAGTATCTCACCCGCACGGCAAAGCCTGGCAAGCTACCTGTGACGTATTCAATATGCCAAACACAGTAACAATAAGTCTCAAAATGGAGACATTACTGTGCCCGCTCAAGCAAATCAATGAACAACGGGAGGACAGTGCAGTGCTACAGTGCTTTTAATTCACTGGTACATTGATCTTCGGGCTGAAAATTTTGGGGCGACCTCAGGAGTGGGGTGGGTCATGTCCCCAACAGACACACCCATACCCCACAGCTGTTGTCATGCAAACCATGAAAATAGTCCAACTCCGCTGCTTCATTACTAATCCCTGCAGATGCCAAGCCAACAAAAAAATCCACGTACAGTGGTTTGGGGATTGAGAACTCTGAAGTCTACTCACGGTGGGGGCAAAAAATGGTCCACTACCCTTCTGTACTGCCAGAAGCCAGAGCAGCCACACCTACATCACACAGCCACTGCCATGTAAGCAATGCTCCAGCTTCACCACTAATAATGGAAGAGATGTAAGCCAAGCAACTAAAACACATCTGCCCAGTTCTACAGATCCTGAACTTCCTGAATACACCTCCAAACTCCACAATACTGACAGCCCAGTAGGAGCACACTATATTAGATGGAAAATTAACATCAAAGTTAACTAGGTTCAGTAAATTAAAATAACAGCTGAAGGCTGAACAAGCAACAAATAGCTTAGTGAACCCTCAGACAATGACTTTAATAACCCCATAGTGAGATATAACAATTTTCACCAATTTTCTTTTACTAAAATATTTCTAATAATTCCATTAGCCAGTTTGTTGTAATAAGCAATGTAAAATAAATTTTTTTGTGTCTGGAATGGACACAAGCTTGGGATATAGGTGGGAAACGGGGGGCATTGGTCAACAGAAGGTCACATTGGAAATGGGGTTGGTGTTGGAACGCTGAATACCTGAAACAGCTGTATTATGAACAACTTAGAAAACCACGTGTTTAGATGACGTTTTTGTTTTTGTTTTTGTTTTTTTGCTTTTTGGGTCACACCCAGCGATGCACAGGAGTGTACACTCAGGAATTCCTACTGGCCGTTCTCAGGGACCATATGGGATGCTGGGAATCGAACCTGGGTTGGGTGGCATGTAAGGCAAACACCCTACCCACTGTGCTATCACTACAGCCCCTAGATGACAATTTTTTTCAAAACTTATTTTATGTCTTTGGGTGGTTATACTATGTAATTTTTCTTTTATTCTTTTGTATTTGGGGCAACAACCTTATTAATATTTTAAAATAGCATAAGATATTTGTTATTTTAAATAATTTTTAAAAACATACACATTTGGGGAGGAATATGTAAGAAGTAGAGTACATACTTACCATATGTGAGACCCTAGATTCTTTCTCAAGTACCAAAAATTAAGTTATGTGTAGTTTTTTAAACTTTTGCATCCCCACCTGGCAGTGCTTTGGAGCTACTTCCAACATAGTGCATAGAGTTCATTCCTCATGTGCTCCAAGGACCATGCTGTTATGGAGATCAAATCAGAATTCTCAAATGCCAAGCACACAGTCCAGCCTTTTGAGCCATCTGCCTATCCAACCCTCTCAATTTAACTTTATTTCATCTTCGTTTAATGTGTGATTGTATGAGTCAGAATGATAGTACAGCGGGTAGGGCATTTGCCTTGTACATGGACAACCCAGGTTTGATTCCTGGCATCCCATAGAGTCCCTCAGCACTGCCAGGAGCGTGTCCTGAGTGTAGAGCAAGGAATAACCCCTAAGTTATGCTGGGTAGCACTATAGCACTGTTCTCCCATTGTTCATAGATTTGCTCGAGCAGCCACCAGTAACGTCTCCATTGTGAGACTTGTTACTGTTTTTGGCATATCGAATACGATTTGGCATATCCCTGGCACAGGGAGCTTGCCGGCTCTACTCTGTGGGCGGGATACTCTTGGTAGCTTGCCAGTCTCTTTGAAAGGGACGAAGGAATCAAACCCGGGTCGGCCACATGCAAGGCAGACGCCCTACCTGCTGTGTTATCATTCTAGCCCGCTGGACTGCAGGGTATGATTTGAAAATGCAAACTAAAGCTTGATTTATAGAACAGACATTTGTAACAGTTTCAAAACCAGAGAGATTTAATAGTAGAAATATCCATAATATTGTTAATTCAAGTTACATAAAATTTTGGAGATTTTGCTTGTTTTAATATCAAAGAATAAAGTCGACATTATACATTTGAGACATGTGTTCTATCAATGATATATATTCCCAGCTATGTATTATAACATAATTAACTAAGATTAAGATTATATAACATATATAATAAGAAGATTTCCTATATGAACATTATACAAATGAAATAAGTAGCAAAAGCACCTGAGAATAGTAATATTGGATGACATAGATTTATCATTACTTCCTTCAGGATCCAATTTTCTTAATATTAAGACTTCATTTGCTATAGTTTATATTTAAATATTTTTCTACTTATGTTCTGAATCTACTTGATGAAAAGGTCTAGCTTTATTGTAAACATTTTAAAATCTGTAGTTAATACCTTCAACAAAATTGACATTCTAATGCTGACATAATCTTCTGGGTGTGTTAAGAACAGTATACAATTAATTATACAATCCTATGGAAAATCAAAACAATGGGAAACACCCCTGAGAGTAAAAATACATTATTATACTTAATTTGTCATCGGTTATTAAAAATAATTTTGCGGCCACCATAATATTTGCTTTATGGATCATAGTAGTAATTGAATGGACTTCTTAGAAGTGGTAATGAACTGTAGTCCTGATTTTCCATTTTTCAAGCACAGCCATATAATTCTATAAATTAGTATATCAAATGAACAAGAAACTTCCATCAGTGGCAGAAAAATCACTGTAACTGTGACCTGTGTGATCATTTAATGAATTTAGTCTAGGTACATCATTTATTTTGAATTTTTTTAAATATATTACAGATTTTTTGTTCTATGATCCCTTATTCTTATCCATTCTTTTTCTGCAACCTGACAAATTGCTTTCTTGGGTTTCTTTAAATATTTGCTTTCTGCTATTTTTACTCTTAAATTATAAATTGCATGAAAAATATACTGTATCTTCTTCTGAATACCTGATATTCTAATATCCAGTCCAGGACAGAAGATAAAATAGAGCGATTCAAGAAAGCCGTTGAGTACTATTCCATCACAACAAAACTCTCTTCACTGCCAGTGGGCCCCACCTCTTTTCTAGGTAAGGACTAAGTTAGCCCCTCAGGAAATCCTAGACCAAGGTGGAATTACTTCATATCATAAGTTCCTCCAAGTCATTCTTGTTCAATAGACATTCTCCGTTTGATTTCCACGTAAAAAGAAGGTGACAAGAGAAAGAGCCCTAATTTATGAATTTATAGATGGGATCCAATGCTACTTCCTTAGCTTGGGCTTCTTCTGGCACTAATCACTTTTGTAACTTGGCATATATGAAATTGTCCTCCCTTTGGAGTCAGGTCCGAGTTTGAATTTCATCTCTGTTGTTTACTAGATGTGCGATCTTGGCTAGTTACATTTTATTGGTTCTGGCTCATGATACGTATTTTATGGGATTGTTATTAGATATAAAATTTATGTAAGCTCCCTGGCATGGCACAATATAACTATTCCATAAATTGTAACTTATTGTTAATAATAATTATTCATGTGATATGGATTAGAAGAATGCAACATGGTAGAATTACTAAGATTGGCTAAAGTATCACCCTTTCTCTTGGCTTCAGGTTGTCGGAATAATCGACTTGGAAATCCTCCCATTCCACAAAATCAAATGGGAACAATCCCTGCTGGAAAGCCAGTGGTGAGTATCTTATACATAGCCTGAGACCATTTATTAATACTAGAATTGGGTTGTTTCCCAATTTTTATAATCTGAATTAAGGAGTTAGGATAATTCTGTGCTGTCAGAATATTAAGGCCACATATACCTATGTTATTTTCTCATCCTGACACAGACTATTGAAAGAGTATTCTTTTTCAATTTTTCAATTCTCCTTCCAAATCATACCTACTAGAGCATTGTAAAGGTAGATTAGCTAATATAAGAGAATGGTTCTAGGGGACATGATTTAGTCCATTGTCTTGCCTCTGGAGGATTCTATCTGTATATTACTTTTAGAATTATTTCTCGTTATTCTCAGTAGGTCCTTTATATCCCAACAAATCCTTTTACTGGCACCATCCACTATATCATAACTTGTGAGGGAATCATCTTGGAGTCTCATAAAGTGCTTAATAGCTTTTCTATCTGTTTTATCCTTTAGTTCTCTCACCACATGTCCCAGAAAATGAAATATCCACCAACATTCCCAATGGGACCCAGCTCCTCTCTACTCTTCTCCCCCCAAGCTTTGGGGGAAACCCAGGCTTTTTCTGAGGATCCTATGCTGCAAGACAACCCCTTTGCAAATTGGGCTGTCCCTTATGATTCCTCTGCATCCCAGTTTCCCAGTTATCTGGCTTCCAAAGGCTCACCTACTTTGGGACCAGACTCTTCCCACTCCTCTTCCTCTGATGGTGATGAGCCAAATGGACCCAGTTCTGAGTAAGTATCTGTTAAATACCCTGAGAACAACCTTTGGAAGCATCTGTATTTTTCTGCTGGTAGCCTGAAAGGGGATATGGGGCATAGTATTTTCATGACTTAGCTCCCAGCTTTTAAGAGAACTAGGAAAAATCTATACTTGACTACTTAATTTATGCTCATTTTGACCATGTATATATCCTAGTTTTCAGTTACCCAGGCAACTAAAAGGCAGTTTAGCAACTGATTAAGGAAGCCCTGGTATGGGCATACTATATATCATATCATGACTGTCGTTTCTCAGTTTTTGAGGTATTGTGGGTAGGTTGTAAAAATAAAAACAAGAAGATTTAAAGAGTTGAAGTATTGAAACAATTGAACAGTTATATTGATTATTAACTAAGACAGAAATCTGGGGATTCAAAGAATAGTGTTTTATATTAGCTTCTTTGTTCTTGGCTTATTCCTCCAATAATATTTTTTATTGCAGATTATTCCTGAGAAATGGATGTTGAGGTTTCAGTTATATATATGTTTTTGTTTGGAGGCCATACTCAGATCTTATCCTATGTTAGTGTCAGGGGTTGCTCCTGGCAGTGCATGGAGGACCATCTAGTGCTGGGAAACAAACCTTTGCTTCCTGCATATAAAGCCTGCACTCCAGCCCATTGAGCTATCTCTCCTTACCTCAGTTAAAATTATTTTCTTAGACTATATGCAGACGCTAAATGTACTCTCTATTATATATGTGTGGCAGTTTGTACACTTTTGTTTATGGGTGAGCTCAGTCTATGTTTGAGGTATGTGGCCTAGAGCTGAGTGCCCCTGGCCCTTTTAAACATGCCAAATTTCAAGGTTTAGGGTGGTTCCTGTGACTTTAGATCACAGGAACAAACCTTAGGTTTGTGTAAGGTGAAAGAAGTCAGGAGGGCAGTGATAACCAGTGAGAAGAAAGGTATTTGGTCCAGAGGTTTATATGATTCCCTGGTAAAAAAGAGCAGTTCTCTTGGAATTTCATTATCAACCTCCTTTTGTTCTTCTGTACTATATTTCTAAAACTTTTAGTCACGTCACAGAAACACCTCAGCAGCCGCCTGGATGGGAGGATCCAAATGGTGACAGGGGATCTTGGATACAGCCTGTGGATGCTAGAGTTTCAGATACCAACCTGGGTAATGGTGAGCCGCACATCCCATCTCTACTGTCTATGTCCACGAGGAACCACATGGACATCACCATTCCACCTTTGCCTCCAGTAGCTCCAGAAGTTTTGCGAGTTGCTGAACACAGACACCGAAGGGGTCTTATGTATCCATATATCTACCATGTCCTTACTAAGGTGAGAGAGTACATTGGCATCTGCCTCCCTGCTATTAACATGTAGTTCATACTTCCTTGAACTGTAAGTTATCAACAAAAATTGTTGGTATCTGAAGGAAAATTTAAAAAGTTCAAATGTGTTGGGTCCCCACATTGTTTTGAGGGCACCAGGTGAGTCATGATCAACCAGCTTTGAACTATGCAGTAAATGTGGCCCCCTGGAGTACAAGTATAATTATGAAATTTTAAAGTAGATAAAGCACTAAGTTGGTGTTCTGGTGTCAAGATAGAGACTTTTTGCTCTTAATTTTTCTGTCTTCTTTTACCACTCCAATGTTCATTCTCTCCTTCAGTCTTACCATACAAATCTGTCTAGCAACAAAATGTCTCAGATGAATTTTCCTATTTAATCAGTTATAGTCATAGCAGAATTCATTTTATAATTATCATTATAATTTGGGCTACTCCAAGCTCTGTGCTCATGTGTTGCTTTGAGCAATGATCAAGTGATGTTGTGGTATTGGGGATTGAATCTAGGCCTCCCACATCATAGCAGAGAGTTTTAAAATGAAATGTAGAGGCCAAGGAGAGAGTAGAGCAGGTGGAACATTTGCATTTCATGTGGCTGACCCAGGTTCTATCCACAGCATCCCATATGGTCCCCTGAACCTGCCAAGAGTTGAGTGCAGAGCCAAGAGTAATCACTGAGTGCCAGCAGATGTGACTCAAAAGTCAAAATAAATATATATTTTAAATAAAATGAAATGAAATAAAATGAAAGCTCTATGGTTGGGGTCAGGGAGGTAGTTCAAGGAACTGAGTGCATGCATGCTTTGTATGGAGGAAGTTTTTGTTCAATCCCTGGTGCTAAATGATCTGCTGAGTACCACTGGGAGTGAGCCTAAGTACAGAATCAGTAGTAACCCTTGTGTACAATCACATGTGGCTCAAAAACCTAAAACTGGGTATGGTCAGCTGTGTTAGTCACATATTTGTGTTAGTCTGAAATTTTGCTTAAATGTAATTAAAATTTTTTGACAGGCTACAGAGGCTATATATAGTTCTTATAGCAATGATTCTTTTTAGCTCATTTCTGAACCTTGAGTATATTGACTTTATCCTTTCTTTTGAAATATTTTCTTATTAGGGTGAGATTAAAATCCCTGTATGTATTGAAGATGAGTGTAACATGGAGCTGCCTCCAGCTGCTCTCCTATTCCGTTCAGCTCGTCAATATGTATATGGGGTCCTTTTCAGTCTTGCAGAGACACAGCGTAAAATGGAACGTCTGGCTATACGGAGGCGGCTGCCTGTAGAAGGTAAATGTAATTTTGACCATTTTCTTACAGCTTGATGTAGAGCAAACATGTCTATGCAAGTACCTCATACTTTATGAGGTAAAATGCGTTACCGTAACATAGATGTTTGTGATTTTGGTGTACAAAGTTACTGCAACAAAGTGCCAAAACCCCCTCTATTGTCCTTATTGCCATTAATCTACTACATTCCTCCCCACCCCACCCCACAACTGATAAATTCAATTCTGTTATCAGAATCTAAGGGTTTATTTTCACTATATACTGATACTGTCTTTTCCCCTGCTTTGTATCTTTATATTTCACATATGATTGAGATCATCTATTGTTCATCCTTCTCCCTCTGACTTCCTTTGCTTAACATGACACCTACGAATTCCATTGTAGTTTCAGCAAAAGTCTAGCTTTAATATTTTCTTATATATGAATAGTAGCCTATTGTGTATATATACACATACACACACACACATATATATATATACATATATATACATTTTCTTTATCTGCTCATCTATCATTGAGAATTTGTATGGTTACCTGATTTTGTGTATTGTAAGTAGTGCTGCAATGAACATAGATGTGCATATATTTTTTAAATTAATTTGTTTTTTTTTTCTTTTTGGGTCACACCCAGCAATGCACAGGGGTTACTCCTGGCTCATGCACTCAGGAATTACTCCTGGCCATGCTCAGGGGACCATATTGGATGCTGGGAATCAAACCCGGGTCGGTCACATGCAAGGCAAATGCCCTACCCACTGTGCTATCGCTTCAGCCCCTGAATTACATCTTTTGATAGATGTCAAGGAGTGGAATCACCAGATGATATGGAAGTCCTATTTTAAATTTTTTAGAAACTCCCAAATTATTTTCCATAGAGTCTGATTCATCTGACAGTCCCATCCATAGTGATTGAGGAATCCTTTTTTTCACCACATTCCAATCAGTACTTGTTGTCTCTGGGTGGTGTTTTTTTTTTAATTTTTTATTCACTCACCTTGAGATACAAAGTAACAAAGCTTTCATGTTTGAAATTCAGCCATACAATGGTTGAACACCCATCCCTACACCAGTGCATATTTTCTACCACCAATGTCCCCAGTATCCCCCCCCACCCCCCAATCACAGTTCTCACCCTGCCTCTGTGACAGACAGTTTCTCCAATATTCTCTCTCTACTTTTGGGCATTATAGTTTGATCGAATTTTTCCACCACCATTCAAGCCTGCCTAGCAGGGGCAGACGCTAGATAATTTATTTTCTATTGCTCACTTTGAATATCATCAGAGGTTCTGTGGCTGATTTTGTGGCCACACACCTCTGGAATTCTAAAATTGTAAATAGCTGGTTTCCAGAGTGGCCTGGAGGTTTAGTCCTAGAACCCGCATACTCGGACCTTGCTTGTGGAGGTTCATAGTTGTCAGGGTTCCATCTGGAGCAGGCGGTGAGAGCACTCCTGCTCCATCTGTGGTGCCCCAGTGAAACTGACTCGGTAAAGGGCCTGGAGAGATCTCTAGTACTGTGGTGTCTTCTGGGACTCTCTACTGTGTCTCCGGACTAGGGCTGTTGGTGTGCTGGTTTCTATATGTTTTTATATTGTTCATTCCCACTGTGAGGTGACAATCCCGATTCTTTTGTTTGTTTCTGTGCCATAACTGGTCCTGTTCAGGGTTTATTCTTGGCTTTATGCACAGAAATTACTCCTGACAGTGCTCAGGGTGGTGCCAGGAATCGAATCTGCGTGAACAGCGAGCTTTCAGGGCAAATGCACAACCTGCTTTACTGTCTCTCCAGCTCATCGCTGTAATTTTTTTATTGTTTGTTTGTTTATTTATTTATTTATTTTTATTGAATCAGTGTGAGATGCACAGTTACAGAGATGTTCATGGTCGGGCTTCATTTATACAAAGTTCCAAGACCCATCCCTCCACCAGTGTACATTTCCCACCACCAATGTCCCCAACTTCCTTTCCGCCACCCTCTCCAATCTGTCTCTATGGAAGGCACTTTCTCTTTCTCTCTCTCTCTCTCTCTCTCTCTCTTTCTCTCTCCTCTCTCTCCCTCTTTCCTTTTAGGAATTCTGGCTTGCAACTCAGATACCTACAGGTTATCATATTTGTTCCCTTACATATTTTAACATACATTTCTTACCCAGAGTGATCATTTCCAACTATCTTTGAAAAAAATTCAATAATGGGCTGGAGAGATAGTAAAGCAGGTAGGGCATTTTTCCTGCTGCAGCAAACATCGTTGGATTTTTTAAATTTTATTTATTGTATTTCCCTGATAATAAGTTATAATGAGCACTTTTTCTTGTATTTCTTGGCCATCTGTATTTATTTGAGGAAATATCTGTTCAGCTTTTCATCCAGTTTAAGCACATATTTTTAATTATGGAGCAGTCTGGGATTATTCATAATTTACTAAAATAAAAGTAGGTATGGGAAATGCAGTTAGCTCTACTACTGTGACTTCTGTGTTAAGTGATTACTGCCGCTAGGTAAACTAGGTTAATCTTGGGAATGCCCAAATATATATGATAATGTCTCCTTAATGAGATTTAAAAAATATTGTTCTACACCTGGTTGTGTTCCATGACTTCCTGGCTCTAAGTTCAGGAGTGATCCAGTGCTCAGGCAACCATATTTGATACCTGGGATTTAAAATAGGACTGGTCACATGAATGGCACCATAACCCCTGTACTATATCTCTAGTCTCCTTAGTGAGATTTTGTTTGGGGATTTGATTCTGTAGGTAATTGAGTCATTGTGATTGATTTTTTTTCTGGCATTGGTCAGGGGCTACTCCAGACCCATTGCTCCTGGCTCCTCGGCAGACTAGGATGTACTAGAGATTTTACCTGCCTCCCCCACCTTCCTGAATACAAAGTTTGCACGACAGCTTTTTCTGAGTCATCTCTCCAGCCCTTACTAAAGCGTTTTAAGATCCAGAAAGACTTGGTCAAATTATTGTGTTCAACAGAACCCTTTTGATTTCTGCATTTGTGAACACTATGGGCATACATAAAGTAGAAATTGTGACATTAAGTTGAAAAACTTTTGGATAGCAAATGAAAATATAAACAGGATGAAAGCTGCCTACTGAGTGGGAGAACTATTTTTTAGCAGGTAGGGCATTTGCCTTGCACGAAGCCAACATGGCCGACCCAAGTTTGATTCCTCCGCCCCTCTCAGAAGGCCCGGCAAGCTACTGAGAGTATCTCGCCCACACGGCAGAGCCTGGCAAGCTACCCGTGATGTATTCGATATGCCAAACACAGTAACAACAAAGTCTCTAATGGAGACGTTACTGGGCCTGCTCAAGCAAATCGATGAACAATGGGAGGACCGTGGCCCGTGGACATCATATGTCCAATAGAGGATTAATACACGTATGGTAAAGTACTTATACGGCTTAACAGCAAAAATAGCCCAATGGAAAGGTCGACAGGAGATTTTACTAGATACTTCTACAAAGAATTCATGCAGATAGCCAATGGTCTTATGAAAAGATAGTTCATCATCACTTATAATCAGGGAAGTACAAATCATAACTACAATGAGATACCACCTGACATCACTTTTTCTCATAAAAGCAGCAATAAAACTTGATGGAGAGAATATGAAGAAAAAGGAACACTTATGCACTGTTGGCAGAATTGTAAATAGGTGTAATCAATTTGGAAATATTATGGAGCTTTCTTAAGAAATAAAAGATTGGACAAGAGAGATAATATAAAGGTTAAAGTGCTTGACTTTCATGCAGCCAAACTTAGTTTGATCCCAGTACACATATTACTCCTAAGCACCGCTAGGAGTGATCCTTGAACAAAGGATCAGAACTAGGCCCTGAGCACCATTGGGTATGCTTTCCCCCAAAAAAACAATGGGGTGGAAAAATAGTAGTGATTAAGACACTTGCCTTAAAAATGGCCATACCAGGCTCAAGCCCCAGCTCTGCATAGTTTCCTGAGCACTGCCAGGTGTGACCCAAACCCCCACCCCCAACCCCAGAATTGGAGTGGTGGTGAAATTTTGCCATTCACAGCAAATGAATGAGTTCAAAGGAATTGTATAAAGTTTCATAAATAAGTCATAAAAATTATTGGATTATTTTTACCTATGTGTACAATTAGATATAAAAATAATGAAAAAAATAAAAAACTAAGATTACCTGAAGAGATATAATGGGAAGAGGAGACCATTTAATTTTGAAAGAATTTTACAGTGAATATCACCACAATTTTGCAATTATCATTTTAATTTATTTTGAGCGAATTGATGAAAAACGGGAGGACAGTGGCAGTGACAGTGACCATCCGTGAAAGATATCTAAAACCATCTTTGTGAAAATTCTCAGTAACAAATACTTTTTAAAGTTTATATAAATTTGAATTACCTGATAAAGATTTAAAAACAGTCAACATAAAAAATGTGATGAAAATTATGAACATATTTGATGAAATTGAAACTCAGAAGTCTGGGGCTTGAAAAATAATACAGGAAAGGCACATGCCCTACATCTGAAAAAGTAAAATTTAATCCCTGGCACCGCTTGGTTCTTTGAGCATTACAGAGTATAGTCACAAAGGGCCCCAAACACTTCCAGGGTGACCTGAGAGTGCATCAAAGGAGCAAACAATATCACATTCCTGAGACCTTGCATTAAAGCACTAGACTATAATTTCCAGGAGTGGCCTCTGGACATCCTGAGAAGCACTTTGGAGGCCCAACAACAACAATTCAAAAATCTGAGCAAAGAAATAAAAAGGCATAGATAAGAATAAATGGAAATTAAAACTAAAAATATAATTTCTGAAAAAATTAAAAGTTTAATGAACCAGAAAGACAGTACAGGGGTGAAGGTACTTGTGTTGTATATGTACCCCAGTTTGAACCCTGGTACCACATATGGTCCCTCAAGTACCGCAAGGAATGACTCCTGAACACCTCCAATTATGACCCCCAAACTCCTCAAAATTACTGAATGACTTCAACCAAATA